CCCCCCCATTTCCCTCACCTGCCTCTCTTTCTCTGTGTGTCAGTGTATGTGCGTGAGCGTGCATGTGTGTTTGTGTTTCGTTTCTGTCTCGAAAAATGGTATGGGTTTAACGCCCCTATCAACACTATTAGTTTCTGCCTCGGTTTGTACCTGTTCTAAGTAAGCCTGGTATTTCAGAAGACAGAGCTTCTCTGCCATGTGCACTGACAATGCTTCCCAAAGGGTTCTTAACCTTGCTTCGCTTCGCCAGTCTCCAAATATGTGAGGCAGCGTGGTGGAATCAGGCTCTCGTCAATTTTTGGGCACATAGAGTTATTGGTATCATCTTAAAACTTGTTCACCTGTCGTTATGTGGAGGAAAAAATATCCGTTTATCTCGAATACAAGTCGAGATATTTGAAAATGAAAGAGGTGGGGGTCACCTATTTTCAGAGGTAAAATTAGTTAGAAAATGGCTGGAAAAGATTAGTTATTTCCTTAGCTTAAGAGTCCTTGGTAACTGAAAAATTTATATCTTTTGAGCCTTTAATCAACGTTTTTCAGTACAATCCACACAGAAATGAAGTCTGTAATGGCCACAAAAGGTATTGAGCCCAAAACAAAAATTTGATAAAAATTCACAAACCTGCGGAAAAATTCAAGTTTCTTCACTTTGATTATTTTGACGAGAGCCTGATTCCACCACGCTGCCTCAAATATTGTCTTTCAGTTCCATAATGGTTTCTGTGCTGATCCGCTTGAGACTGACACAGCACAAGATTCACTTGACCCTTTTTGTGTACGTTTTACGAAGACGCCGACATGTTGTCCTTGATGAAAGCGAAAAGAGAGCTCGGAGAGGCATTTGAGCACTACAATCCACGGTGTTCCACCCTCCATCTTTGGCTTTTGTTAACTTCGGGCATTTGTTCTTACTGACTTAAGAGGTTCGCTTCTTAATTCTCGTCTTTTACTTGCTAATTTGCATGGGGTTTATTTCAGTTTGATGGCATGACTCATTTGAGGGTTTTTTTAAGGGAGGGTCCAAAAAAGGGAGGGGGGGGGAGATAATGCTTACTACCGTGTTTTCATTTTCTCGTCTCTTTTTGTTGGGGGGG